GGGTCTTCAGGTACATTCAAGTAGCGAAGACACATGGCATTGAGTTCCAAGCGAACAATGAGAACGGGCTCCAAGGTTACTCGGATGCGGATTGGGCCGGCGACATCGAGTCACGAAGAAGTACAATTGGCTACGCGTTCATGATGAACAGCGGATGTATCAGCTGAAGGAGCAAGAAGCAACGGACGGTGTCACTATCATCTACAGAAGCATAGTACATGGCGCTGTCGGAAGCAACGCAAGATGCGGTCGGGCTTAAGGTGTTCATGTGTGAGATTGGTGATATAGCGAAAAAGGAAGCAGTCACGATCTCACGAGGACAACCAAGGTGCCATTGCGCTCGCCAAGAACCCGGAGTTCCACAAGCGCAGCAAACACATCGACATCCGCTACCACTTCGTGCGTGAGAAGGTCGAAAATGCTCAAGTGGTGCTGGAGTATTGCGCGACACAAACATGCTAGCTGACATCATGATGAAGCCCATTGCCGCGGTGCAATCTGCGATTTTGAGAAATAAGTTGTTAATTCAAGCGCGGTACACCATTGAGTCGAGTGGGAGTGTTGTCAAGACGACGCCTCGAGATGTACCCATATGCCGGTAATGTATTCGTGTTTATGTGACGTCATCGTAAGACGTCACGGAATGGCGTCATAGATTGACGTCATTGCTGAAGCTTTTTCAAAAGTTTCTAGATGGCTTGAGAAGGATAGGCTATGAGGCAGATTTTTGTGAACTAAGGTACTATATGTAATCACTTTACACTTTACCATCAAGTTCTTAGGTACCTTCATTTACTTTAATTACAACTCTACAGATAATTTGATGGCGACGATGTTTATCGGGATGGAAAAGGGACACATCCCTTATCAAAATGGCGGCCATCATAGAGAAATTTGGCTAAGTCCATGTAATAATTTGCTCGATAAATTCGGAGCCGAATCATCGGGACTTTTCTCGCCAACGGTTAAATCTTATTCCCAAAACGGTTAACCCCCTTTCGATAAGGCTAAATCCTTTTCCCATAAGGGTCGGATCCCTTTCTCATAACGGTTGTATCCCTGTCCCGCTCACGGTCGGCTCCCTGTCCACCACTAAGTCACTAACTAAAATGACTTATTGGGTGTGGTGAAGTCGATCTTAAATCATGGACGATCGAATGGAAAAGTACCGTTGATCCAAGATCGTTAATTAGCTTGTTTAAATAAGAGATTGGAGAATCGATCAATGGTATCGAAGACGATGATAATATGGATCGAAACATACTATAAGGTGAAGTTCATATATGGCATGGATCACATTTCCGAATTTTATTGGATTATCATGAAATAGATTCCCGTTTGAATATACTTAATTTCAGTATCGGTTAATCTAATATGGTGGATTAAATTTGTACAAATTTACTTGAATGTGGGATAGTGGAATTGTGGCTCGCGTCCTCAATTTATTGTAATCGACGAATCACTATCCAAGATACATATCGTATCGCTATCGAGTTTGAATCGCACCGCAATCTTAGTATTCAGGTAGATACGCGATCCGTGATTCTGTTAATTCACTATGGAGGAGCGAAGGAATAGATTTTTGTAAAGTGTAGATTGCTTTCTAGGATATTTGGACCACACATTGTGGATCGATTGCGATCCATTGTGCAGATACGCAATCTGACCTTGAAATGGTATCTGACCCAAAAAACGCAATCTGACTCAGAAACGCGATCTGACCCAAATACGCGATCCAATTCAGATACGCGATCCGAAGCAGATCGTGATCCAGATCGCGATTCGAGAATAAGGAACGATCGCGATTGGATGGGGATGGTGAAAATATTTGAAGTGTACCACATATCGAGATCTGATATTTTTGACGGGACGACGCGTGGTAATAGATCCTGGACTATAAATAGGCAGAATCATAGGTTTTGATATATAATTGGTTAAACTAAACAGAGCTCAATTTTACTTCGAATAAACGTGTCGACTTCTCTTCCGGGCTGGATTCTTTGGCCACCCGACGTTTCGAGGAAGCCTACACACTACGCAAGTCATATCCCTGGATTGTTTGGCCAGGGATTTCAAAAACTCTCAACACAACACAACTGCAATCGGACGCAGAAATAACAAGTAGGGCAAGGCGAAGCAAGTGCAGGACGAATCAAATGGTCAGAAGATTTTGATTAAGTGGTTAAAAATATAAGCTTCGCTTTATTAGATAACCGTGACGATTGGGAAGATCACACCAAGTACTCGGTCGATCTTGTGAAAAATTCCCCATTATCACCAAACCCCCTAACCATAACCCAATTAGGATCAACATCAACTCAAGTCCACCTATCGGAGCGCAACCCGCCCAACCGACGGGTACACAAGGTGAGGAAGGCTTTGCACACGAAATCGGGGTACCTTCTCCGTTAGTCGGTCTTCCGGGCGCCAGTGGAGAGTCGGAATCACATCAGCAATTTGCGAATCCACTCCACCACACAACAATTTACTCATTCTCATCCAACTCAATCACAGAAAAGTGCCGAAAAAGCGACACTTACAAGGGCTGTACATGCAATGCCAAATACATGCTGATCGAATAGGAGTCATATCGTGGACCCACCACTTACGACAAAACAATTATATGGCCGACAGACTCGCTAATCAAGCTTTAAACGCGGGCAAGAGTATACATTTTTTTCAGAATAATATCATGGTAGCAGGCGTACCATGATCGGAAGTGGCTGCTCACCTACAGGGTGATGTGGACCACTTGGTCGGCCACGAACTGGATATTTGGCAGCGCAGGCAGGCAGCACAAAAACGAGGGCTCGCCTGAAGACGGGCATTTGCCGGCGCCCATAGGGCAGCCGGCAAAACTATCAGCGACATAGGAGCACTTCCTGATCGCGATTTAGAATCGTCGATCCGAAATTGTCGATCCGGTCTTTTCGGATCGCGACTGTGGTGTGTTGCCCACACCCAGTGCGCTTTCTATCTCAGATTTTCTGTGGTCTTGATCCCGTTGCTCAGTTTTCCAACCGTCTCGTACGGCTTATTGTCCAATCAGAAAGCGCGGGAATTTTGGATCAACGTTTTTTATTTGATCGATGCCTTCCAAACCTTCTGATCGCTTTACCACACTGACACGGCGCTCTTGAATATCAAAATCAAGAAAAAGCTGTACAATAAAAAAGCTTTTTGGTGTCACCCACGCCGAGAAGATGATATGCGAGCTGGATAAGGCGATCCATGGTCTCAAGTAGGCTGCGAATGCATGGAACAAAACAATCCATGCTGTATTTCTGCAAATAGGAGTTCGAAGCAGCAGCTTAAAGGCAGCTCATAGTAGCAAATTAAGAACCTAAATATATTCACTTCGGAGCCCAAAATAGCACTTATGCATAACCTTTCTTCTGGGTATGGGCATTAATTGCGGCTGTTGCTTGTTCTAGGGAAGCTGTGAAGGTGATCCAAGCATTTTCTCATGCAGAAAAGGAGGTGTTAAACATTCTGACCAATCAGGTGTAATGAATTTAGCAAAAAGGTGCGTAGAGATGAAATATGCATAAAATTACGTAGTAAAATATGAGCGATACCTACAGTACTATATCCGTAAGACAATACATGTAGAACCTACTGTAAGGACAACGACCCTGTGTGTCACGTGTCGGGGCCAATAATAATTCATTAAGTCAGTGTCAGACACGACGAAGTCGCCGCAATTTGAGTGCGCTATAACAGCTGCGTCTATATGGGCAGCTGTAAATGAGGCGCGGAAGGTCGCGAATGTATAGTGCGCGACGGTAAACTATGTAATTGTAGCGGGCGTCTCAGCGGGGGCGATATCGTCCCTCTAGTGTCATTCTCTGTGCTTCACGATTTCGATGACAGCATAAATATGATTAGTGTAACGTCTACGAGACTTGTCGTCTAGCGCGTGAGAAAACATATCGCAATCGACCACCGATATACGGCCGCCCCTTACTGACGCTCGTAGCTGATAGAATGTTTTGCAGACCATATCGTTAAGTATGTGACAACTGTAGGATTGAATATTAACCACAGGGGGTTAACGCTACTTACTGCCGCAGCGCCTTAAGGAATATTGGTAGGAAGCAAATGACAATGTCGTCGCACCTGCAGCGCTGCTCAAAAGCTAGGTCGTGACTTGAGTTTGAAGTTGACGCTGGAGCACGAGGCTGTCAGTGATTATGAGCACCAAATTTGGGTTTATCCAGCGTTATTATCGTTTCTTCGTGACGCTAGTTAAAAGATTCTTCTTACGACGTCCTAGCAAATCTAAACAGCGAATAACTAACGAAAACAAAACATGATCTAGTCAATTTGCGACGACTTTGCACGCGGCGACTAAGTATATTTGTTGTAGACTTCCTGAGGTGGCCGTGACAATTGACAATGAGGTAGTGACAGCATGACGTCGCTGTTCAATGAAATGTGTTGTTGGAGCTGCATAAGTCGTAGAATGCTGTCGTAGAATCTGGCTAGAAAAACTAGTAGTTCACCACTTGGAGCGGTGAACAACTAGTCTTTTTTTCCACAAACCTGGTAGGCAAATGATTCGATGTCAAGTCCACCGGGCTGGACGACAAGCCTAGCATTTTCAGTAGGCGCTTTTTTACCATCGTGGTCGACTCCGTTGATCGTTACAGTCGTTGCTTCGAATAGGGTGTTCAGTAAGCAGAACAGCTTCGTTGATGCTTGCCTTCAGACACGAATTAGCGGGTGCAGTCTGTTCCCACGACAGCTCAGTTTTCGATGGGTTGACATCGTCTGGTTGACATGGATTGAGTACTACTTTAAGGATCATTTGAATCCGAAGACGGCTGCAACCTCGGCTGAAGGTGCTGAAAGTTTAATCAAAGCTTGGGAGACCAGGAGTTATATTCGATATAAAGGACGATTACTTCCTACCCACACACACACAACGCATTTTCTAGCAAGAACGCTTTACGCTTGTCATGAACATACTACAGTCGATAAGACGAATGTGTCGAAGATCACACGTGACACATGGGCGTATCGCCAGATTGGGGCGGCGCGTCTGTAGCTGTTGTGGCTTCGGGCGAGGTTGACGTAGCTTTCGAAGTAGCCTCCATATTTGGTTCCTGAGTTTCCGGAGTGACCTGCTTGTCTTTTCGGGTGTTAGATTCTGGAGTAGCACCCTCACTTGTTCCCTGAGCTTCTTGAACGACCGGTGTGTATTGAGAAGTGGACTCTGAAGCGGCTGTCGTAGTTTCCGGAGGAGCCACCGCGCCTAATGTGCCTTTGTGAGTGGCTGTCATAGCTTTTGGAGTGGTAGATTCTAGAGTAGCACCCTTACTTGGTTCCTGAGCTTCCGGAGTGACCGGCGAGTATTCGGAAGTGGACTCTGAAGTGGCTGTCGTAGTTTCCGGAGGAGCCACCGCGCCTAATGTGCCTTTGTGAGTGGCTATCGTAGCTTTTGGAGTGGTAGCTGCTGGAGTAGCACCCTTACTTGTTCCCTGAGCTTCCGGAGTGACCGGTGTGTCTTTGGAAGTAGGAGTGACCGGTGTGTATTCGGAAGGGGCTTCTGAAATAGCTTCCGTACTTGGTGTGTCTTTGTAAGTGGCTGTCGTAGCTTTTAGAGTGGTAGCGGCTGGAGTAGCCCCTTTGCTTGGTTCCTGAGCTTCTGGAACGACCGGTGTGTATTCGGAAGTGGGAGTGACCGTTGTGGTTTTGGTAGTAGTAGGAGCAGGCGTAGGAGCTGGAGTATCCGTCGTGTCCACAGTCGTCTGCGTCTCTGTCTGTATTGAAAAAACGCTGGCGAATTGTTCCGTTGTGTCCAGAATCGTCTGCGTCTTTGTCTGTGATAAAGAACCGCTGGTGAACTGTTGCATCGTGTCCGTGCACTTGCCTACCGAAAGCGAGTAGGTACCTGAAATCACGTCACCATTGACCGACGTAATTGCAACTTTTACAGCTGAAAGATCAGCCTTCGCTGTTGTCGAAACGTAGAAGTAGGCACCATCCAACATGGTTGTAGTGGCACCATTGAGTGTGACACTTTGAATACCAACGAGACCGTTGGTCGGCTGCACCGCGATCCAGCTACTAGAGCTGCCCTCCTTCAGACATACTTGTACATTGCCTGCGTCTGGGCAGTCTACGAATCGCCAACGGACCGTGAGACGGTTGGGTCCTAAGCCCGTGATATCGCTAAACACTGTCGGTGACAGGTCAAGAGCTCCGTGTGCACACTCGGGGCATCGATCCAGCACCTGGACGACAGCCGTCTTGTTCTGTACCGTGCATTGGACGTCAATACACGAGACCTCAATACAGCGTCCACAATTGCCAAGTGTATTCCATTGCTCCTCGTTCAGTGCTACAAAGTTGGTGGATGCTGTCGGAATAGCCGACATAAAGTTACAATTGCCACTGCTCACTTCACTGAGCGTGTAACTCGTGCCGTCACCTTCGAAATATTCATCCGGTACAATATCTGCCGCTGCTACACCAAGCAGAACTGCTACGAAATGGACTGCGGCGACCATACTAATTGATGTGGTGGTTCAATGACAAGGCAAATTGGAAAATGAACAGCTCAGTGAAAGAGGTGACAACAAAACCGATTTGACAATAGACGTGTGGTGAAGACAAAGGACCCGCTATGGACAGAGAGATGTAACAGACAAACGACAGCACGATCCGACCATCTTGTTTATTATTATTATGGTTATACAGTACTACTCCGTCCTATAAAACTTATCCAAGTGTCCCCTTAACTATTGCACTGAAACGTTATTCATGTGTCATGTGGTAAATTTCAGCTACACCTCAACTACACCTGTTGCAAGCGTGAAACGCTATAAAGCTGTTCATGTCTATGTGAGAATGAAACGAAACGCTCCATTGAGACCAAAGCACCACCAAGACGCCTCATGCGCACGTGCTGATGCTTATATAAGAGAAACTGGGGTTCCCCGCTATCTGGCCGTCAAAGAAACATTGGTGGTCAGCAAAGCGCGATACCGATTCCATCAAGGAACTCTCGTGCCATTCCAATGCTGCCGATAGCCAGCTATCGTTTAACAGTCGCTTCCGCAAAGTGTGCTAGAAATGGATCAGGTTTCCAGATTGTTGGTTTTGCGTGACCATTTTGATAGGAGCCACAAGCTACAGTAGCAAATGTATTACGTATTGACTCGCTGGGCTTGACATAAAGCCTTTTCATAAGCGCCATCGTAGTGTCACATAGTTAGCGTCTTTGATGTACCCCATTAGCACGACAAAGTTCAGCGAAACAGCTGGACAGTCGCCATGCTACAGGAAGAACGGGCGGATGAAGCAGCCAGTCGGCTCATACCAGCTGGTGATGCCCAAGCTCGGGCCCAAGCGATGGCAATGGTGACGCAAGACCATCTGGATTTTACGCACCATGTAGTTATGGTGAAATCGATGAGGAGACCTATAGGCACACTTCAGTTGATTTTTGTATGCAAGATAGAGGTGGTCTTCATAGAATAAAGATGTATATCTGGAATGGTAAGGAGCATTATTGTGTCTTTGCCATTTATCTAGAAGTTCTTGACACTTCATCGCGACGTCCGTGGACGAGAGAGCAGACAGATGATGGTACTTTTCTGAACGAGGCAAGGCCGTTATGACCTTTATCTTACCCGGTTGGACAGGCTGAGCCTACTACCACATATGTGGTCCCATCGAACACACAGAATGAGCTATTTGAGACGGTAGTTGAATTGAGAAGGCTGTTGGTAGGGTTACAAGTTTAGTTAGTCCAGCATGAAACAGCAAAGAATCGAGCAGAACTAGAGGTAAGGAAAAATTGAAAAACGGTTGTCGGTGGGACACCAGAATCCTTTCAAATAGAACGTATAGGTCTCATTCCAATAAGATGTCTTCTATAAGAAATTTTTGACTCGCGCTCACGACCGACACCACAATGATTCGGTAAGTCGGAACCATTGATACTTTATCAAAAGTTTTGTCTACCATCGTATACTCCAAGTCATCATTTTGTGTGTGTCGAATGATAAACAAGCACATTAAAAAGACAAACCTCTTTGCTCAGGCTCTCAGCAGCCTTCGCCTGGATGCAAGATCTGCGGCGATGGACGTCAAGATGATTATTGACATGGACACCATTTGTCCTAGTGCCATGTTGAACGCCGACGCGTGAAGCAGCTACTCGGACGATGTTTTTATCTACTTACCGGACTTTATATAAGAACAAACATTTTGCGTACAGAAAAGATTATCCCTTATTGACAACGTACTGGCCATCCTCGCAATACATGAATTGCTCAACTTAGTTGAGGTGAACACAAGCGAGGCGACCACCGCACGGCACGAAGAAGCCAACTGTAATGTCCAGCTGCAAGTGGAATGATATACAAAACTTTTGCCATTTCCACAATATCCCCCTCGGGTGCGTAATATCGTTGTGCGAGACGAACACCAAGAAGTTGTCCGATGCATGCTTACATCGTATCGAAAAGCTTGAGTAGAACGTTGCGAATAGTACACTAATGAGCACTTGGTCCTTTCGTATAGTATACGCCTTCTTGTTTATTTTTTTCACCTTATGGTACAGTTTTATCAGGTGGTATTTCTTCTCATCTTGTAGTATATTTTTATTTTTATTTTCCATAACTCTTTCTTATCTACAAATACGACCACGATTTGTGAATGTGGTGACGGGAAACTGCACAAAAAATACCATACTAAGAGCAAACTCTAGAATTTTGTCACAATAAATTGGCTAGAGCATTTCAGCACATTGACGGCTTAATACGCACGCAACTGTTCTAAAATTGTCAGCATAGATCGATATTTGCAAAAGTATCATCGTCAACGAGCGTAACGTTAGCAACGAAAGACTTTTTGTTCGGCCGCGTCTCTTTGACGCTGCTGACGATTCTCCAATGGTCATGGTAGAAGGAAGTGATGGCTGATGCTACTCGGTAAAGCGACTCACATATCACGGGCGTTATAGGTAAGTACCTGCGGTTGTCGGCCTTTTATAGCGTGGTGGGAGCTGATGACTTGGGTTTCCCAGTAAGCGGTGCGTGTAGTCTGTCTAGTCGCCGTGTGCGCTCGATCCACGCCTTACGCAACGCAGCCTCGCTGCAAAAAATACTTGATAGACGGCGAGCTGCTGCGCTTATTATTTGCAGCCCTAGCTTTGTGTGTCTCCGGCAGGTAAATGTGCGTCTAGGGGCGACACTATTTTGAACGAAACGTGATCCTTCTAATTGTCTTCTCTGCGGTGGGGAGGCCTAAGGCTGGCGTCAGTGGGAGATTTTGCGATCGTCTCTTGGACGCAGGGACTTAAAGGATGCTGAAAGTGCAAAAGCGGTAGCTGCAGAAGCTTTAGGGTTGCCGCCGTCGGCTCGAGAGCCTTCTCGCCGTTGTTTACAGCTTCAAGAGCCTCAATTCTCTTGGGTAAAAATGTGAGTGATGGCGAAGGCGCATTCGCCTGTGCAACCATAGGAGCCGTCTCTCATTTGACGCCCAAAGTCCATCTCGTCACTAAAAACGAGGTAAGACTCTCACAGTCAGCCTCCAACTCGCAGGTGATGTCTCTCTTGTAAGCATCAGACAATTGACGGACTGTGATCAGGTCTTTATAGACGAGGTCACTAAGCGGGACGCCTGTCTTCTACAACCATTGAATGTCACGACGATTTGATTGCAGCAGTATCAATGATAGAATTTAACTTATAAAATGGTTGCAATCACGACACCTTCGCCAACTAAAATAGCTTTACTTGCGAGAACATGAAGTATCTAGATACAGGCAATATGCTATTTCAGCGGAGGCTTCTGATGCATGTCAAAAATACTGAAGTCATACGGTCAAGCATTCGGTCTAAATTGAATGCTTTTTTGCTTTGCAGCTTTCATTTGCGATGGAAAGACATAGAAATCGTCTCGGATCACAGCTGTAAGAAAGCGAATACGATGTATTTACAACTTTATTTCCAACTCTGTCATGGTTACCGACAAGGGAATAAATCTACAAGCAATCGAAGGCTCAAATAGATTTGATTATCTATCACAACTATAATAATGAAGCTTAGTAGGTGCCTCCACCAGCAATACTCATGTGAGATGTCGACGGATTCAACGTAAGTCCAGTGACAGCCACTGAGTACACAAAAAGCAACAATGCGAACGTGACGATAGCAGCACTGGCACTCTTGGTGTACCCACCGTAACTGCGAAGCTGCTGGGTATCGAGCTTTTGTCGCGGCAGGAAAAAGAGACCAACGAGTAGGAGGGCGTTAATGCCATAGCTGAAAAGCAATGCCTTTAGTACATCCGATCGCCCTTCCGCATCATCTGACATAACATCTCCGGTATTGTAAAAGTTGGTGCCTTTAAACAGCCCGGTTGCGTTAGTCTCTACGAACATGGAAACCAAAAAGTACATTGACAAAATCAGCCCGACCATGGCACCCTCCGAGCCTTCTTGGATGATCTCTGTCAGCGGAATAATGCTCGATAGCCAACCAATGCCGGTTGAGATACTCGAGAACAGCGTCATAAAACGGTAGAAGTTTCGATCGCGTACAATGTTTTGAGTGACACAAATAGCCACAATCACTTGAGGAACGATGAGCAAAACGGTGGACATTGCGAAGAGCGTGCGCCAGGGTCGGTTCATAAAGTAGTAGCGCCACACTGCAATCGTCAACAGTATCGCTCCGTAGTACAGGAATTGCTGCACTAATTGGTCGTTCTCGTTAGCACCCGACCAAAAGATGATGGTCGCCGAAGGACCGCTTAACGCAAAACTGCCGAACAAGGTGAAGATACATATAAACGCGATAATGCTCCACACTGCTTTCTGCTGCATGACCTTCCACAGGATTTGACCACGAGTCCTCATCGGCGTCGAAAGCGAGTAGTATTTTTCCTGCCAAGATTTCCACACCAGCGGAATCGAGACCCCAATCACGAGGCCGTATACAAGGAGCACGACATTATGGTGTGCCGAGCTCTTCTCAAGAGCGTACACACAAGCGTTGGTGATGAAAAAAACTACGCTTTGAAACATGGAATAAGTCGCTACGATAGCGCCGCGCGTGCCCAGTCTTTCACGCTGAGACAGCTCGAGCACTCGGGTATGTACGCACATATGTGTCATCATGTTTCCGGTACTGGCCAAGGTTGCGAACATAATGACAGCCACGGCTAAGCCGGTCCCCCCAGTGCTACCATGAAGGGTTTCGACATATGCGTCCAATGCTGCGAGGACCAAGAGGCTCATTACTGTTGTCCCCAAACCGATGATCAAGTACCCTTTCCGTCGGAATCCCAGGATAGGGTAGCAATCCGATAGTAACCCGAAAAAGAAGCAGAACGCCATAGGAATCGATGCCAGTCGTTGTGAAGCTGCCAACTTGGTAGAACTCAAGCTGAAATGCTCATTTAACATAGGCTTGATCACGCATCTGAGGCACTCGACCGAAGAAGCCGACGCGAACGTGGCCGCTACGAGACCGACACAATCCTTCGAAAAGAACGTTACTGCGCCTCCTTTGCGGAGACTTCCGTAGATTTCATCATTGTACAGTAACTGGTCAGCGCCATTTTCAACGACCGAGTTTTCAATATCTTGTATTGTATTTGACGGAATTACATCAGCTTCGTTGTCACTGGGTGTGTGGTAGTTTTGAAAATCCATCTTGACGTCCATAGACGATGTAAGCTCTTTCCTGCACGACCGAGATGCTCCGCCAAGTACCTTCTTGCTTGAGTGTGGTGGGGGTCGTATTTTTCAGCTGCAACTTTGACAAGTGGTCTCTGGTTGTGTTCTTGGTCGGAATCCTGTGTAGTTGCAGGAGACGGTTGCTTCTGACAGTCTGCCGTACAGCTACATGGGTTTTGCTGGGACCCAAGGCAAAGCAGGTGGCTTTAGCTGGATAAACCAGCTGGAATGCACTCTAGCGTAAGAGGCGCGTGTGACCAAACTTACAGCTTGCCATCGCCATAGAGATACGATTTGGGCTGGGTGGCAACCGTCTCGGAGTGACGAACAGCTGTGCAGAGATCTATGTGTTCAATGGGTTAATAACATAGGGCTTAAGACTGGGCCTTCCAGCAACTGATTAGATACAAAAAACCAGAACAAGCTTTAAGCATCTACAAATGCAAAATGTCAGCAGATGATCAACCTTGTCCTTACGTGACTTCTTATCGCCTCGAAAAAATGACATCTTATGGACGTCTGACAATATTCGTATCAAACAGCATGTGTTTGACGGCCGTTATCACCATCGCCATGTAGAGATAGTCGACAAGTTGAAGAGATGACCGTGCGATTGTGTGGTCGCTGATGGCTACGATCACGATTTACCGAATGAAGATTATGTATAGACTTCAATGTGAGCATATTGGATCACCTAGCAAACTACTTTTTCACATAACTTCTCTCGCCATTCAAGCCTCATTACTAACGAGCCTTTAGTCTTCATTGAGGACAATAGAAGTAGGCCAATAGCGGTACCACGCCTTTCGTTCGTCATTCTACACGCAAGGGTACGACTGTTGCGCCTGCCTTAGCAGACTTACTCACTGTTGCTTACGTTATGTCTGCATAAAAATCAGAGACAGAGGGCGTCGTGGTGTAGAACCTGCGCACCAGACGCCACATAGCGTTGCAAGCAGCTATAGCTCTCTCCTATTCAAGCATTGTGCAATGACGAAGATGAGTCGATACTTCAGCAAATTTCTATGGAAAACAGCGGGCTTAAGGTCTAAGAAACGGGCCCACAGTCTAAGCAACGGCGTCCAGCAACCTATCACTTGAGCGCAGTAACGACTGCGAAGACTAATGTGCTATAGCAGGGCTTTCCCTTCGGTGAGGACGCGGACAAATACTCGAGTCAAGTAATGCAGCTACCTACAAGAGCTCGATAAACACTTACCTTGGTGTATATCTGGTGTAGACGGGAAGTTGCCTCGTACTACGAGCACACACCTTATGCACAAGCGAGGAAGCGGTTATACCGTCTTACCTTCGCGTGCGAGGGTGGTTGGGAGGTTGGTCGACTGCTTAAGCAGTCGTACCACCAGTTGCCTCTCGCTTAAGCGAGAGTGCAACGAACTTCTTAACAAGAAGGCACCGACGTCACGCAGAAGCTTTTCAGCTTCTCGTGCGTGGTGCTTCTGTTTAAGTAAATTCAAGACTGAGCTATATTTAATTAATTATAACTAAATATATACTTAACTACTGATTGGCTATATATATATATATATAGATCGGATACGCGACTCTTTAGAAGCGTATCCTGTCGCATGATCTTAAATCTAGATTTAAGATCGCAACTGACGTCCTTCTGAGACGTCGCGATGCCTAGCTTCAACTAGCGTCATCCCTTCTCATGTGAATCCATCAATGGATATCACATTCACGAGGGTGGATCACATTTGTGTATCGCACCCAAGTGACAGGTCAAAAGTAATCATGGATACTTTTAGACCAAACATTAAGTATATTACTTAATGTTTACGTGTAACTAGATACCCTGTTACACCATCCCCCGTTTTAGAACGATGTTTACATTTTGTAAAACATCGCCTAAGAGACAGAGAGACTGGCGAGCCGTTATAAACGCGCCGCTTTAGTCTGCTCAGTACTCATGCCACCGAAACGTGGTAAGGCTGATGGGTCGCCTGCAAAGGCACCCATGCAGTCCAGCACTAAGCGCACGCGCCGCGATTTATCGCAGCCGTCGCAAAGTGCGTCAGGCACTGGGGTGGATCTTCCATCTCACGATAATGTGGATGAAGATCCATCTCTCATTGTAGACTACAATGAGACCACACCACTGCCATCACCCCAAAGTGGCGATGAGCATAGTGCATTGATGGGACATATGTCCCCATCATTTGAGGCACCCGTCCTTGAGGAAGCATCTATGCTTCCTACAAGCGAAGGTAAAGCCTCGTCGTCTGCGCCTACGAGCGCAGCGACTAAGACTGAGCACGCTACTTCGAAAGGAGTAGTCGCGACTCAGTCAGATGTAACTCCTCAAGCTGATGTCTTGACAATCCATAATGGAGAGTCAGACTCAGGTGAGTGTGAGCTTAAAGCTCCACCAAGTACACCTTCGGCCTCACTAGCCCGCCGTCGCGAGGGCGGCTACGTGAGTGGTGGCTTGCCACCAATGCCACCTCCATCTGAGTGGATGAACTCGGATGGGTCTAGCGCAGCGCTTTTGCAGCGTGCCACTATAGACGCTCATAGATTCTATAGCGTCTTTCCTTTGTGGAAAAAGCAGGGCAAAGCACTTGGTCGTGCTTTCCCAATTCCAGTCGTGCTGCGTTCTAACGAAACAGCCGACGACTATGAAGCTGAACTTCGGCGCCGTGTTACCTTGCATGAAGATGCAACGAAACAGCGGTCGCAGCGAATCAGCTTCGCCATGAAGCGTGCGCATGAAATTATGGGCGGTAAGCGACCCCCAATTAATTCTCGCCACGCTTCTTCTGCTAGTCCTTCCGGACCTAGCAGAAAGAAGACAGCTGGTGCTGCTTCACATAAGCAGCCACCAGCCCAGGCACGTCAACGCGCAAAGCGTCCACAGGCTCCCACGAGTCAAAGCTCGTTGGGTAACCCTTCCACTGGACAAGGATTTGGAGCTTTCGCTTCACAAACCGGTGGGCCAACAGCCTTCCAACAAGGAAGCGCGTGTTCCCTTCCGTGTCCACCAACACAGGTGGCGCCCGATAGGAGTGGCGATTACGCCCACCTACTCGCGGCTGCCTACCCTGCTGCTGTTCAGTCGCAGGCTGAGTCCGCTGCGCTGAAGAGGCAGGTGACAGATCTCGAGAGTCAAGTCTCGCGACTGACCTCGGATCTGCGCGATGTGAGGGCGAGGGACCGTCAGGGGTATGACCGCCTGAAGACCCGTTTGGACATCTTAGAGCGACTGGTGATGAGAGACCCGCGTCAAGCGCGGAGTCCTCCTCGATCACCGAGTCCTCTATCGCCTCGTTCATACACGGGGAGCCTCTCGGCTTCCTCGTCGCCTGATCGGTCGCGACGCTCGACTCACAGTCGGCGTCACCATCGGTCTCGTTAGACCGATGCGGATATGTGATCTCTTCTGGATCAACATACCGTTTCAGACGACCCACGTAAAATACGGGGTGCGTCTTCATATACGGTGGGAGAGTGAGCCTATAATTTAGGTCTCCAACTTCTTCAACCACTGTAAAGGGCCCAATGAATCGGGGCAATAGCTTAGTAGTACCACCAGGTAGTACAGAAATTGCATGTTTAGGTAGGGTAGCAGTACTTAATAGCACTTTGTCCCCCACACTAAAGTGTTCATTGTTTTTGCGACCATGCTGGTCTGCATATTGTTTTTGCTTGTCCTGTGCGCTTGCCATCGCGTCACGGACTTTACGTGTGATGGCTAATCGCTCATCCACAAAGCGCTGAGCTTCGCTCACGCTTTTAGCATCCAGCTCGCCTATGACGCCTCCAAGAGGTCGTTCATGGGTCGACGCTGTTGACAACACTATAGTGTCATCATCAAGGAGCACTGGCATTTCTTGCCGTGCCTCCTTTGTGACACCTATAGGTGTCGTGACCACTGCTAAATTAGCAGTGTCACTAGGGCAACCTTGGCCCTCTTTGGCATTCGCACCGAGCGAAGTGAGGGGCCCTCCCCCACTAAGACTCGGGCTGCGTACAAACGAGACTGGCGTTCGAGGATGACGCAGTCCGTTAATGTAAAACGGTGTTTCACCCGTACTGGCGTGAACACTGTTATTAATAGCGAACTCCACGAATGGCAATTGCTTGCTCCATTCTTTAGGAGTCGCTATTGTACGCAACACATCCGCCACGACTCGATTGGCCCGTTCTGTTTGGCCATCGGTCTGGGGATGATCAGCGGTTGACATGTGGAGCTTGCTACCCAGCAGCTCAAACACATGTCGCCAAAAACCCGACGTAAAACGCGGATCCCGGTCCGATACTATGGACTCGGGCATCCCGTGTAGTCGATACACGTGATCCAGGAACAAGAGGGCAGCCTCTTTTCCTGAGATCTTGGTGCTACATGGTGCCAAATGCACCATCTTGCTCAGTCTGTCTACAAAGACGACGAGCCCCGTCCTGCCTTTATGGTCAGGCGGTAAGCCAAACATGAAGTCCAAACTGACCGACTTCCAACATTCAGTTGGAATCGGCAGTGGCTTCAGTGGCGCACTGTTTGAAGGTGCAGGCTTTATGCGCTGACACTCTTCGCAAGAGCGAATATAGTTGGCCACCCACCGATATAGGTGGGGCCACCAAAATTCCTCTGACACTCGTAAGAATGTCTTTTCACGGCCCAGATGCCCACTAGATGGCGCATCATGGCACTCGTGAAGTATCATCAGCTTGAGATCTGTGTCATGAGGGACATAGATTCTCAAGGGATCACAGGGTGACAGTTGATGCCATAACAGGCCATCACTGTAACTAAAGCGATTTAGTTTCGCTTTGAGGTGCGACGGAAGGGTAACCTTTCGTCCACCAAAATGATCCAACAGCAGGCGACAATGTTCGTCCTGACTGTAACACTCCTTGATATCGGAGGCCATTGAGCTCGTCACATGGTAGGCCTTCATGGCTGCCAATGTTGACGACTCAACTTGTGCTTTCGCACGAGACACACTATCCTGGTG